TGCCGCGGGAGCCGGGCCCGCCGGCGCGCGGGGATGCGTGGCAGCTGCATGCGGTCCCAGCGGTTCTCACCTGTGCTACCTGCTGCCCCCAGTGAGTACCTGCCTGCCCCGGGATCAGCTCGCGGCCTTGCAGGGGGACGCTGCTTTCTGGAGCTCTGGCGTCAGCCTTTCCCGGGGGCCGGAGATCCTGGGGGGCCATGAGCTGCTGACGTCTTCTGCCTGGGCTCCTCCCTGGAGGAGGATGCAGGGGATGGGGTTTGTCTGCCCTGCAAACCCTTCTGCTCTGGCACAGGCCCTGGGAGGGGTGTTCCTGTGCACGCAGTGTGGGGCAATAGCAAGGCTTCCAGCTCCTGCTCACTTCTTGGCTGTTTTCCCTTTCCCCCAGGGACCCCTCTTGCAAAGGGCACAAATTCCCAAACGGTATCAGCTGCCACCCGCCACAGCCGTGCGAGGCAGACGAGGGGCTCGGGGAGGATGAGGACAGCAGCTCGGAGCGCAGTTCCTGCACCTCCTCCTCCACCAACCAGAAAGATGGGAAGTTCTGTGACTGCTGCTACTGTGAGTTCTTCGGCCACAACGCGGTGAGTGAGGGCCTGGCCTGTGGCCACCCCTGGGCTTTGCACTCTGCTTTGTGGTGGGAAGTGTTAGCTTCTGCGTACAGAGGGTTGAAGATGAGAATGGCCCCGTTGCAGGTCTGGCCATGGTTCTTCTCTGGCAGCGCCTCATCAGTCCAGCGGTCCCCTTGCTCCTGACCTGTTGCTTCCTGCATGTCCTTGGCCTGACCAGCCAAACCCTGTGGCTTCGGTGGGGAAGAGCAGCTCAGTTGGGCTGTGCTGACTTTGTCTTGTTGAGACCTTGGGGAAGGGAACGGTAGGGTAGTTTGGTGGGGGAGAAGTGCGAGAGCCGGGGCTGCCCGTACGTCACCCCGGCTTCGTGTGGCAGCTGATCCTGACATTGTGACATCCCGCAGCCCCCGGCCGCTCCGACGAGCCGCAACTACGCTGAGATCCGAGAGAAGCTCCGCTCGCGCCTCACCAAGAGGAAAGAGGAGTTGCCGCAGAAACTAGGGCACAGCAGCGGCTCGGGAGAGCCTGCCGTGGACCACCGCAATGTGGACGAGCTGCTAGACTACATCAACAGCACCGAGCCCAAGCCCCTGAACAGTGCCAAGGCAGCCAAGCGGGCACGGCACAAGCAGAAGAAGAAGGTGAGGCTGGCAGGAGGGACATGCTGCCTGCCTGTACGGGAGGCAGGCTGCAAGGGAGAGGCCTGTGTACCCGTTTGGGGAGTCCGGGACAAGATTGGGGGCTCTTTGCAGGACTTCACTTTCCCTTGCTTCCATTTGATTTCTATAACTCTGTCCTTTGCTGCCCCTGTCCCCTGAAGTGACAGATGGTGCCCCCCCACCCCGGGCGCCTGCCGGTGTCTGCTCCCACAGAGGGCTGTGCACCCTGTCCAGGCTCTACCTGCTCTGTGCCGTGGCCCTGACAAAATCCCTATGGGTGATAGAGAGGGATGGTGCTGAGACAGCCCATGGGTGCTGTTTGCTGGTGCCTTGTGTCCAGGCTGGTGCTCAGTGTGCGAGGTGGTGGCTTTTGTGCTGCCTCTGGGGAATGCATGATAGTTCTGGGGGCTGTGGAGGACGTGGCTCAGCCAGGCTGAGAGTAGGGGCTGGGGCTTGCTGCCTGGCCAGAGCAGCGCTGTTGCCTGTGTCACTGGGTGGCCCAGGCAGACTCGTTCTCATGGCACCTGTGTTGCAGGAGAAGGAGAAAGCCCAGCTGGAGGCAGAGGCCCAGAAGCGGGCAGAGCGCAGCCCTGCAGCCAGCCAGGCCAGGGAGCCTGCCGAGGAGAAGCTGCTGGAGTGGCCGGAGCTGGAGCTGGAGCGGGTGAACAGCTTCCTCAGCAGCCGGCTGCAGGAGATCAAGAACAGCATCAAGGACTCCCTCCGGGCTAGCTTCAGCGTCTACGACCTCAACCTCGATGTCAATGACTTCCCCAAGAAGGCAGCTGTCCTGGAGCAGAAGAATCTGCTCTCCCACCTCAATGGCTCCTCTGACCTGCAGGACATAGACCTGGCCCTTGCCCCGCTCAGCTTGGGCCCTGCCAAGAGCCACGCACTGCTGCGGGGCGAGCTGGGCCCGCGATGGGGCGAGGGCCCCGGGGAGCCGGCGCCGGCGGACGAGAACGGTGTGGTGAAGC